AACTGTGAAAAAGGATCTGAGGTGATTCAGAATCTTGTCGGGTTCACTGGTGTCGGGTTGGCTGAATTATCCAGGGTAAATGTTGAAGCCACAGCGAGGACAGTAACGCAGCTTTATTTGGCTGACCTTACGTTTAGATACGCGCCAGAAATTTATAACTCTAAAAAGAGTGATGAATGTTCAGCCATTACAAACGAGTCTGCCCCGTTCGCTGATCTATGTGGACTTCGAATAGCCATCGGCTTCAGATCCAAGGGCTGGGACCGCTGAGGCCACCAGTTAAGCGATGGTTCAACTCAAGCCAGTTGCACTTTCCTAGGGTTAGTCGTATTCCGTTTGTGAGATCGCCCACTTTAGTCTATAGTGAGCTGGTCTTGAGTCCGAAATGGTAGTTGGCGGTAGGGCACTCGTAGCTTTGACTTGCCAGCCTCCAACGAGGGCGATCGAGCCGAAACATTAGCCAAACGCGTTAACATCTCGTCTATGTCTTCAGCATTTACTCAAGAAGACCTCACACGATGCCAAGGTTCATTGGGAATCGATCATGGGTTCTCCTGGCTGACATCAGAGAGATTGAGTGTGGTTTCTGCAACTGCCGGGTGCCATGAGCTTTTCTCCAAGAGAATCAGCATCCAAACACTTCTTTCTTTTTCAGCAAAAAGCCAATGCGTGGCGCAGCTTGAAAAACTGAAGATCGATGTCAAGCGCTCATTTGTGCACCAGTCGAGATTCACCTTTAGCGCTTCGCACGCTTTCGGAAAAGATGGACTGCTAGTAGTGGCTAGTGGAAACGTTACCACAATGGAAAGCAATCCCGCCGCTTCGTGCCTTGAGAGGGACCATTCTCCAGCGGTCTAACACACGACATGTCTGCACCCTCTCCATGGCAGGTTCCAGGATGACTTGATCAACGTCGGAACATACCGCCCTTATGGCTCTCCCTGCCACCGGGGGACATTCCTGAAAAGTACCCCAACTACCGTTTGTACGTACCATCTCCTGAAGTTCTCTCGAATTCCTCCCAGAGTCCAACACTCCAACTTCCTTTTGAAGTCAGCAACCACAAGCTTTTCTTTCCAAAGGGATCCCCATCTTCTAGCGACCAAATACAGCCCCTCCCCGCTGCGAACCTCAAACTCACAACGTACACTGGTCAGATGGCATTGGAGTGGCTTTGTCGCGACAGATGAAATAATTTGGCCCCACTGAAGAACAGGTCCCTCCCGAGGCACATAGCGCCGCAATATATATGCTGTGAACGTAGGCCTAAATGTTCCATTCGGGCCCGCAAATGCCCAAAGGAGCTGTGTAGCAGCGACAATAAAGCGCTTTCGCCGACAAAAGCAACAGAAAAAAACACCAGAGAAAATTTACTAAATCACAAGCCTGTTGGCTGGCATTCGACTACACTTCTGAAGCAAATTACAAGGCGCTCAAACCACTGGCGTTGAGGTTTGACAATCCCTAATTAGACGAAAGGTAAGGATTCCTTTCAAGTCTGTGTGGACAGCTTTGAAGAGATTGATTTGGAGGTCTACCTGAGCAAAACCGGGATAACTGTGACGTGAAACCCTCTTTTGTACGAAAGAGCCGGTTCATCTATCCTGAAGTTTCTTCGCTTCTAGGCTTAGGCAAAAGCCCTCGTCTCCATTACAGCGATTTCAGTTTCCCAAAGAGGTCATGTGAATGCCCCCCCCCCTTTGGCCGAGCTGTGTCCCAATTCATTAGCCACTGTACGGCCCCTCCCTGCAGTACTCTATGTTCTATACACAAACATTATCTGCGCAATACTCAGAAGTTGCTTTCGGGATCTCGTGGTCAGCAAAAACTCTAATAAAATAACGCTTTAAGGATCAATTTGAGCGCAACTCCTCAGAAGTTTGAGAAATCAGATATCCGACCGATTCTGCCTGAGTCCTCATTGGATTTTCTCTGGATTTCTTTGCAGTTGCAAGAAATTCTGACGACTGAAGCTCTTCAGGAAAGAGAAAAACCATGGGAAAGGCTCAACTTACCGTTGACTAGTGTAGACCGTGCCGTCGCTGTCGATTCGAAGAAACGAGTTATGCGTGGTGGCGAGGTGAAAAAACGATTTCTTCTCGTTCGGGAAAAACGTATCCGGCTTCCATAATCGGTCCAAATAGTCTACGCCGACCTGAAAGATTTCAAGGCACTATTAAATCCGTTTCGAACGAAAAAATCGAAAAAAAACCAAGGTAGCAAGGGACTGATTCTACGTGCCTTTGTTTCGTCAACTCTACCTCACCAGTTAGTCCCGGAGTTGACGAAACAGTAGTTCCTATGAGCCATGGAGAAAATGAACCATCTTTGGTTTGAAGTGGTTTTTCCGATGCATTCTCTTTCTTCGGTTCTCACTGAAGAAAGCACTACTCTAGCGCTGTTCGGCTCAGGGGGGGGGGGGCATAGTGCACTTTCGCTGGTTCCTTTCGCTTAATCATTTTAACTAGCCTGTAAACTCTTGTGAAGCTGCAAAATGATACAAGTGAGCCAAAACAGTTATAGGACTTTGCGGGCTCTTACAAGGTAAGTTTCACTAGTCTCATTGACCACCTTTTGGTGCCCCCACCAAGCCCAACTGCGTCCACAACTCCCACTTTCAAGCTTACTTCTTCAAAAACGTGAGTAAGTCAATTCAGTAATGGCCCCTTTACAATGAAAAGGCGACAAGGAGAAGTTTCATCGTTGATTTATTCACATACTCTTTTCTGAAAGAAGTGGTACGGTACTGCTCGTTGCCCTACTTAATTCTCTATCATTACCCTGATTTCCCAACACCCACCGTACCCCAACGTTCAAAGTTCTGTAATTGAAACGTTAGGTCTTCTAATTGAAGCTTCAAAGCCCTTAGGAGTCCTCCGATAGAAACCTTTGATTTCCACGAAATCTCTGCAGGTAAGTGCAAAACTGCACTATTACTGCCCTTAGAGAGGCATTTCTGGAAATTTCTGTCACTACCCTGGGAAATGATATGAACGGTATGACACGCTGAGGAATGCCGTTACGCCAGAATAGCCCCCTCCTGCCCTCCCCACTCCTCCCTCTTCCCACCTAAGAGAAGTAGCGCCCAAATACTACACTCAGCTGCACGAAGCGTGTCATGGTGGAACAGTGTCCAAGAAATCCTAGCCTTGTAGGCCGAAAATCAAGTATTTCAAGCCACCTTCAAGCTGCTTGAAACGGTGATTCGGCTTACCACAGACAGTTCTATGGAATGCTGAAAACTTATCTCAGCTTAGCGTCCCTGCACACTGCATGTTTTTTTGGGCAGGACTATCAGGTTCCCCTCACCGCGTGACAAGCATGTCGCTGATGTTTTTCTTTGCCGAATACCCAGAGAACATGCTCTTCCCTCGCAAAAACAATTTTGCACTTTCCAGACCGCTGAACATTCGGAGCCCTGCGTTAATTGATAGTGTGCGGTAATAAGTAGCAGTTCTTCATAACAAATTACAACAAGTAAATCAGAATGACGTCAAGGTCTTGTCTCAACGCTACTTCATTAGGCTCCATTATACGCTAATTGTATACAAAAAAGTGGTCCTTTGCGTCAGCAGGTGTTCGCCACGAAAAAGTGCATCGTAAAGACAGTTGACATTATCGTAATCGGTCGGGTTGGCTTCAGGGGGCATGGAATGGTCCCATATGCGGCATTTTCTAGCGAAGGCTGTTTTTTCATGGGGTTCCTAACCGATCACTTTCGGTAGAAAATGCAGCCGCGGGTGGGCTCATTCCACGCCCCCCCTCCACCTACGATTTGCGCTTACTTGAAAATATTTTACAAATGATTTTAACGTCAAGTTCAAGTCAAATCTAAAATGGAAGTTCGAGAGGATCATCGAAAATTTCAAAATGTTCTGGAAGAATGAAGATCCAAAAGGCGCGCTCTAAGGCTCATCTTACAATGAAATAAAAGGAAAGTCAGATGAAAAATTTTGTTCCGCAAAATAAAATCGAAGCGAACTTGTGAAGCAAGGTAGACTGGGCGTCTAATTACATTCAATCTAGTGGTCCCCTGAACGAAAATCCCCGGGAACGAAAGGGTCCATGCCCCGAGGGGAACCTCTATTCGCTAGTCTTTGCACTACTTTTTTTGCATTTGTCGTTCTCGATCGGATTTGCATACGAAGATGGCATGCAGGCTCCAATCAAATTCCAATTCAAGTTCCGGTTGAAAGCCCAGAGTACACGGAAGAACGACTCCTATGTCGGTTATGTTTCTTCTAATGAGGAAGTTCTACGCTCCCTCTCCCTTATGGATTTCGAAAAACATCACACCCTGTACAATATGAGACGCAATGATTCACATAAACTAGTTTGTATTTCTTAGTTAGTTCACTCGACATACTACAGCAATCCTAAGTTAAGTCAATTAGCTTCTGGTGCGAATGCCGCGCACCATTTGCAACGCTGCTTTTGCCGCGGTCGCCGCAACATGGATCTAGCGGCCCTAGATCTCACCCCATTGCGAGTTCACACAACCTGGTGGTGCTTTGGGTGCTTCTTCTTATAGTTCAAACGAATCAAGTCGTTTGACGGTAAATTCACGGAATAGACGGAATAAGTGGCGCCGTCCTCAAACCATTGCACCGCTGAGTCGCCTTCACAGCAAAGTTTGAGGGCGATCATAGCGAGATAATGTGATTTTAGTGTGATATAATTGATTTGTTCTAATGATTACAACATTATTGTATGAAACTGTGGTATAATTTTCAAATATTGATTTTTTTTTTATTCACTTATTCATCATAAATCATTCAT